GAATTCTAATGGATGCTGGAAAACAAAATTCACATACTGGTAACCATGGTAACATGTACTTAATTATGGCATATTACCATATTTCTAAATAAATGAACCATTATTAAAAACAGTGGTGACCATGAGATGACTATATTATAAAAGAAGTTTGGATGTAGATTTTGACTGGATGATAATTTAAATTAGAGCAGCTTTTCAATGAAATGTACTGGTACTTATGTTTCACTTACAGATCAGAAGGACAGTTTAATGTAACAATTTCTATACATTTTCAAAATCTTAAACCTGGACAATCACCATAGTAGCTCAAAGATTAGACTGACATTTAGACCGAGAATAGAGTTGTCATATTTAAGAATATATGTCAACAAATAAAAGTCCAGGGCCCTGTTCCTCAAAGCTATCACAGCGCTAAGATGAGCGTAACTCCCATACTTTAACAGGGGTGTAGCTACCGTTATAGAAAAGAACCCGGACTTACACATGATTGTTGCTGAAAAGGTTGGTCAAGCCCTCAATACTATCTACATATAAAGCTTTCCAACCTATCAGGCTTATACGAACAAACTGGCTTGCTATGCATCTGTTTAGCATAGACTTTCGACAGTCATAGCACTACGATCGCTTTGAGGAACGGGGCCCTGAAGAACCCCTGACCAATTCTTTATTTCAGATGGCTAATTCTTGCTGCTGAAAGTCTATGCTTGTGTAATCAATCAGGACCTCAGTCCTGTTTAAATTTATTCTCTAGGGAGTGGGAGTCAGACTTATCACAGATCTGTTATTGAATCGTGGAGATACAATGCAGATATGCCACACGACTACCACTGATGTTCTGTTAGATTCTTGATGGCTTTTTATCTGTTCATATGTTGAGCCCCTAGAAGTGTGGAGGAAACCCTTCGTGGGGCAGTCATTTCTGATGATCAGAAGCCTTGTCTCAGCAGACGTCATGTGGGTCGAAGTACAGGCAGAGGTTGGGGTTGAGACAAGTTAAAAGATGTGTTCTCTTGTCTTATGCAGGGATGTAGGTTGGAATGTGTTTAATGGAGGATTATCTCCCTTTACCGATCAGTCTTGGTCAACATCTAGCGTGAGACTGTCAGGACTATTAAGGAATCAGGTCATTTCTGTCACTAATGTGTTAATTTGCTTCTAAGACAGAAGAACCTCCTAGGGATAATCTGTTTAGGGACACTCTCAGAATTAATCTTCTTCAAGGTTGCTTTCAGTACATCAGGAAAGTAAAATGAAAATATTTTTCATGGCTGTGGAAATGTGAAAACTGTTCTCTTGACCAAGCAGCAATCTTTTTTCAGAATTGAATGCAAATTCTCCAGAATTTTATCTTTACAATATATTTGTTTCAATTGCACCCTTTAATGCATATTAATTTTTGTGAAAAGAACTCAGACAATTTCGCCCCAGACTGTAACTGGATTGTCAAGATTTATGGTTTGAGTTTGAAATTACTCCAAGGTAGTGTCAGTGTTATTAGGATAAGGTACAAATTGATTTAAGAATTGTGAAATATTGGAAACTGACTTTCATTATCAGGCAACAGAGATGGGGTTCGCACATGCCTTGGGTCAAGTAAACTTGATATAAATTGTTTAACCCCTTAATGTCAAGACAGATCAATGGAGTCTTCCGTCACAGTGTGGACAGTCTTTGTGATGATTTGTTTACAAGCATGTAGACTCCACGACACAACCACCTTTCTTTGTGACATGAGGGTCAATTAGTGTCCAGTCCTCTGTCTGCTTGTCGTCCAAGTCGGTCATTGTGCGAGTGATGCATTGTTGGGGCTACTACACCATGATGGACAGATGAAGCCTCATGTACATTGTTGTAGTCTTCATGTTATGTAGGACACAATACTCTGACAGGGTAATACTAGGTTAGGAGAATAGTGGAGCACGGGGGCCAGATAACAGGATGGAGGAGAGTTGGAACGCTGGGTGACACTGCCTTGATTTACACTGGTTTATTCATTATTGAATGTTACCAAGAGTAATCACTGACCGATGGCTTGTCTCTGCAGTCCATCCTGAAGTATGCTGGTTCTATCACTAGATGTCACCACTGTAGCCGGGTAGAAGTTGCATGGTGTTTTCACAACAGCTCTACAAATCCAAGCAGATTGATTGCCTAAGGACCCTATAAGTTTACTTTTAGATTTTCATTTACATTTTTTTAAAAAGTCGTGTGGGAGCATTATGGGTTTTATTTTTCTAACAATCTCAGGAACAATCTCAGGTGTCTGCGTACACAGCTGTTGATGGATGTGATCCACATAGAAGCAGGACTCTGTATGTGGTGTCCTTCATCACGTAGGGAAGGAAGGCAGCACAGAGATGGAAATCCACTCTGAAGTCATGCAAGCCCTGAGGCTAGTGGGGTTTTATTTTTTGCTAGCCCTGCACAGGGTTGCTCGTCCTTATTAAGTCAGAAGACTTTCAAATTACAATCCTTTTTCAAACAATATGTTCAAACATTAAAACTCAGAATAAAAAAATAATCAGAATAGATTGCTGCACTTGTTTTGCAGTACAGTTCTTACTGCAAAATACATTAACATCATGTGTCAAAAATCTGTTTGCCAAATGTAATTACTACTTGTCTCGGGCCTCAGGCATTCATTAATTTCCATCCTTGCAACACGTGTGATTCTCTGCATATAAGTACTCAGACATTAAAATGCTGTGAGGCAGGCAAGGTGAAGGTTCATAACTGTTTTGTTATGGCGTGATGTTATGCTGAAGCATGACTGACATGGGGTGTTCCTTCAAGTTCGGAGTGTGCTTTGTTTAATGCTTTTCAGGTTCATGTCTGTCACCATGGGTCTGTTCAACATAGCAATCTTGTCACTGTGACTTGTTCTTTGTCTTAAACCAAGGAAGCTATGATCATCTGAGCCTTACTTTGTGTCTCGTGAAGATCTGGGTTAGAATTGATCTTCAGTACCGTATATGACCGACTATAAGTCAGAAATTTGATACCAGAAAATGTAGGTAAAAAATCAGACCCGACTTATACTTGAGTTCATTAATCTACCCCAAAATTTTTAGAGGTCAATATTTTCGCATTAAACATCGTGTCCGAGCGTGAAGATTGAGGCGGCGATACCGATACGTACGGGGAAAGGGGCCGACTTATACTTGAGTTACATGGTTTTGGCAAGAATTTAGAGGGTTGAGAAAGGGGCCCGACTTATAGTCAGATCCGACTTATAGTCGGTCATATACGGTAACTCATGCTTGACGTAAGAGGCGACTAAGGGGATTGATGCTCATGCTGTTAATCACTGGATTGTCTGGTCCAAACTCAATTGAATTATTTATAGACTGCCGTCATATAGCTGGAATATTACAGAGTGATGCATAAATCTAAACTTGCTCAAACTCACTCACTCACCCTTACATTGTCGGACTTGGCCCTGAATTTAGTATTGTATGTAATCACTGACTGGATGTGGATAGTCCCCAGCAGAAGCCAGGCAGTCTAGAGTTGTCTCCCTTTGATGTGCCAGGATCTGTTGATGTTTGCTTCTGTTTACAGATCCATCTTTATTATTATGCTTAGCTATTTGTTTTCCCCATAATTGTATAAAATGCATATCCAAAATTTACTGTGATATAGTTAAACTTCTCTTAACTCTTATTTACAGATGAGCCCAATGATATCAATGTTGATTATAAAATTCAAAAATAGGTATGCTTGGTCAGACTCTGTTTGTTGTCTCTCACCAGCATGGAATGGTGTTCATGTTGTCAGTCACTGGTTTGTCTGGTCCAGACTGGACTGTTGACATGCAGTGGTGATGCTACTAGAATATGACTGACTGTAGCATTGAACACTACTCACCCAGCGTTCTCCAAAACTCTGTGAAGCTGCTCAGTTTGTACCATTACATGACATGACAGTGCCTGCAGCCACTTGTGTCGACATTTGTGGTGTTCCAATTAATTGAAATAATCGAAGATTGGTCGCAGTGACCAAACGACCAAGCAATCAATCACATTTTCTCATCATCGAACACAAACGATTTTGGAACTACTGTTTTAGTGTTTGAAACACTTGGTGAGGGAACATATCTTAGAAGTTGTGAGGGCCTGAAAACCTGTTTAATTCTTAGAAAACTCACTTCACTTACTGAAAAGTCATGACTGAATATTTCTTGAAGACTCTGGGAAGTTTGTGTTCATGATACATTAGTCATAACTTTAATGGAGCAATTTAAATCATCTTATATAGGATGTGGAATTTACACAATTTCTAAATGAAATTAAAAACAACAGAAAATGTTTTTCTTTACATATCTGCATTAACAACCTGCAGCTGAACAGGAAAATCTTAAAAATGACACTAACCAATTGTTTCCGATGATTGCTCGTTTGTAATGAGCATATCATCAGTTGTGAGATTTCAACCAATTCCCAACACTAACTGACATGCTACGAAATTGTACATATCAGATTCAGATAATTTAAACTTTCTTAAATATGTTGAAAATAGTTTTAAGCTTCACCTTTACAAAACCACTTATATAACATGAATAAAAGTATTGTATGTTGTAATATTTTTTCTGTATTTTCTTTTAAATGTAGTTTACTCTGAAAATTTACAGTGAGTATGATTAGTCTTAGTTCATGAACAAAAGCTTCATGAAGTAAAATATAACTTCATGAAGTAAAATATAACTTCATGAAGAAAAATATGACTTCATGAAGTGTAAAATAACTTCATGAAGTTGATGAAATGTGTCTTCATGAAGTGTGTCTTCATGAAAAAGGTTCATGAAGATTTTAGCTGAAGTTGATGAACACTTCATGAACTCTTTAGGAACTGTTCATGAAGACTTCATGAACTCATGAACTGAGTTTCGCAGGGGTTGATCTGCCTGTAGACAGTGGTAGAATACTTCACTTGAGGTTTTTGTTTTAGTTCTGTTGATCTGTGGTGACACCTGACTAATGCATGTTTTTTACTGTTTTCAGTTCTGAGAGCACGGAATCTGATCAGTAAAGGAAAAGGAGGTGAGTTCGGGTTCCTTGAAAACATCCAACATTTGGTTTCTGATAAATACAGGAGAATTATAGTCATAGACTATGAAACTTTTTAAAAACAAATATAAGCAAAAAAACAAGTGTGAGAAGAAGAGGAGCTTATAGATATTAAGCATTATAGCAATTGTTTTCCTATTCTTTCTCCAATTGCCAGTTTCTACTATATATTATCAGGTTTCCAACATTACGTGTCCCCTTGTGGGAATCTTGATGTGGCGGTACATTTCAAGTCACATGACGTAAGATTTGTACCAGAGCTGATTAATGGACATTGGGTGGGGACACTGTTGGACCATGCTGATGGTGTCAGTGTCTCCTGATGGAATAGATTGGTGCTCTTGATGTCAACCACTTGTTTGTGGAGCTCAGATTTGATTTCTTCCAGGTTGTTGTGATCAGTAGTGATATTGTTATTATATACTGAGAGAAACAAGTAAAGGAACACAGGACTGACTGAGTTTGGTTTTACGCCGTTTTTAGCAATATTCCAGCAACATCAGGGCGGGGGACACCAGAAATGGGCTTCACACTTTGTACCCATGTGGGGATTCGAACCCAGGTCTTCGGCGTGATGAGCAGACGCTTTAACCATTAGGCTACCCCACCGCCCCAGGAACACAGGAAATTTCAAGTGTTCCTTTAATATTTTCCAGTTTTCATCACCAGCTTTGAATAGCACTGTGGGAGGAAATCTGAGAATAAATAAAGGATCACTGCCATGAAGTAGTGTTCCCTTATTTGTTTCCCTCAGTATAATCCGAATCTTAGTCTATCCCAAATTATGAGAATACTTGACATTACAAATGATTGAATTCTAACTATATTTAGCGCTTATATGATAGATTGGATTCTTCCTATTCCAGAAAAGGTTATGATCATGTATTTTATAATATATATAATGGATTTTAAACTCATGTTGATATGCTAAATTTTAGTCATACTCAGTAAAATGTTTAAATGTAGTGTTTTAAAAGAGTTTATAGAATAAAGACGTTATGCAGGGTCTGAGCCAGGAATTGTGATGGTTGATGTAGCGGGAAGTTGTGTGGTGATCGTGGTCGTCCTCCTTGTCCTGTGAATTTCACGCTGCGTCTCTCTCCACAAGCACCTAATGATGCGTGATATTATCTAATCAGAATTCTCTTTCGCCTGGAGGGTTTTTTATCAAGAAGTTTTAAGCCTGGCCTATCTAAATAATCAAAATGCTGCATTTAGAATGAGTTCTTGTTAGCAATAAACTTGAGAATGTGTTGGCAATTTGTCAAAATCTGACACAAGAACTAACGCTGATGATGAGAATGATTGGTGTACAAGCCATAGGCGTCATTTTGGAATAAAACCGATTATTGTCGCAATTTGTAAGCTTGTTTTTCCGTGAACACTTCACTTACAGAAATATTTCAAAAAGGAAATGGTGATGTGGTCTCTTAAAGTGATGAAAAATTGTCCAATTAGCAAATCAATGAAAGGATGAAAAATGACACAAAGTAAAGATGAAGAGAGGGGAAATTTTTAATTTTGTTTTTGAAATGATGACACTAATTGGACAACTACCCTAATTTATGTTTTTGAGATATGTGTATTCTACACATTACCATGTCCCTATTTCTGTCTTCCTATCTGTAATTCTATTGCCGGATATATAAAATGGGTGTAACATAATGTTTTCAAATTCATTCTTGCCTATCTAAACTACAGTGGTGGTGTTGAACAATTGTTTTTGCTCGAATTTAACAGAGGTGTGGATTAGTGGGACTTTAACAAGTATTGCATCCCTTTGTTATCTGAGTGATTGAGTATAGTTTTAAGCCGCTTTTAGCAATATTCCAGCAATATCACCAGAAATGGGCTTCACACATTGTACCCATGTGGGGAATTGAACCCGGGTCTTCAGTGTGACAAGCGAATGCTTTACCAGGCTACCCCACCGCCCCATCTGACTATGAAATATACATACAACATTGACTACAACAAATTCTTTATTTGATATCGAACAAAAATCATTTTCTTGTAAATACAGGAGTATTTTCTTCACAATACATAAAACATGCGAATGTAATTTATTCTAATTTTCTTCATACTTTGTCAAAGAATAACATTCTCACATTGAGAAAGTGTCAAAATGTAAATGTAATCGTTGAGAGAACTCAGCCGTGTTGAGCATGAATTATTCAGTCTGAATATCACAGTTTAGATAATGGTAGGCAAAATGCTGTTGTTGACATATTCCCACCTGAATTAGTCGGATTTTGATTATTTAATGTCAGCAAAACAATTGAAAATAGCACACTTGCTCAAATGTTGCCTGGACTGTTTGTACAACTGAAGGCTATGTAGGGAATGTCGTTATGTTATGGTGAGTGACAGAGTAGTTTTGCGCCGCACTCAGCATTTTTTCAGCTATATGGCGGCGGTCTATAAATAATCAATTCTGGACCAGAGAGCATCGATCAACACAATTGGGACATGTGTCAACCAAGTAAGCGAGCCGGACCACCCAATCCCATCAGTAGCCTCTTACAACAAGCATAGATTACTGAAGAGCAATTCTAACCCGGATATTCACGGGTCATGTTATCATGGTACAGGCAGTAAATGTTACCAGCTTGTATTTCCAAGTAATAAGGGGTGGTGGGATAGCCTAGTGGTTAAAGCGTCAAGCTAAAAACCCGGGTTCGATTCCCCACATGGGTACAATGTGTGAAGCCCAATTCAGGTGTCCCCCCGCTGTGATATTGCTGGAATATTACTAAAAGCGGCATAAAACTAAACTCACTCACTCACTCTGAGTAATAAATTCATGACTGTTTCACATGGTCCTGTTTTGTCGGAGATTGGGATTAGTCTCTGTCCAGTTTGACAGAGCCAATGTGGGGGCCCCTCCTTAACCTTTAACAGACTGCACATTTGACCACTATATAACCGTCAGTTGTTTGTATTCAGACAGCATGATGTAGAAGGGTTGTCCAGGTCTGTAAAGAGACAGTTATGTCTGAAAAGAAAAAACTAGTTGTCTACCACACAGACATGTTGACAGAGGCTTCAGTTGATCAAATAACTGTGTTTTCAGAAACCCATGATTGGATCATCACAATAATGGAATCGACATAACTCAATTTCCGCTTGCACTACGATTTGCGTTTAATTGCTATGACTGTGGTTGTAGCAGTAATTTGAAATGTACGAATCCACACAGGCGGCGAGAAGGTTTGTGTGAAGGGGTAGTTGAGACAGTTGTAAAAGTATTGATCTATCTACATCAAAGCTGGCCACAGACCCATTGAAACAGGATCAAAATAGTCCTTGGGTTGTAGCTTTTTTCAACATCCCTCTCACGCAGTATACCGTAAAAGCTCTGATTTAGGATATAGATTGTTGCCTACATTCATGATAGGGATTGTTGGTGAGAATTAGTCCACAGCAACCTGGGATTGGGTGAGTGAGTTTAGTTTTACGCCACTGTAAGAAATTTTTCAGCAATATCATGGCAGGGGACTCCAGAAATGGGCTTCACAAATTGTACCCATGTGGGGAATCGAACCTGGGTCTTCGGCGTGATGAGCGAACACTTTAACCAATAGGCTGCCCCAGCCAAGCAGAGACATTTTGGATACTTTCTGTATGAATTTTATAAAAGATGATTTTCTTGGTTTATATCATTGACTCTAAAACATGGATTATTGTTCGTAATGTCGATCACTGGACTGTTTGGCTTAGTCTGTCAGGTCATATTTTTCCCAGCATCTACTCATGCATCTTCATCATTTCACAATGTCTTTTCATGTTTACCCTCTACATATCAGACTATTTGCAACAAACTTGGTTGACAGGAACAGTGCAGTGGTGACCCAGTCATGTAAGGTGTACCTTGTTATACAGACTGGCAGCCCTCAGTTGCCAGGAACAGTGCAGTGGTGACCCAGTCATGTAAGGTGTACCTTGTTATACAAACTGGCAGCCCTCAGACATGCCAGTCTTCTGGAGTTGAATCCAAGATCCATATTGCTCCTGTTGTCTATTTGCATCAGACTTCAATTTTGTATAAAAGTGGTAAATGAACATATTTTTGCGAAAATTGCAAATGACTTCAGCTTGCAAAAACATCATGCTTGCAAGTCTAATTACTACCATTACTTGTATTAAAATGGACTCTGTCCGTCCGTCCGATCCGTCCGTGCACATTTGTCTTTTCCTAAGCAGAACTCTAAAAGCATTCAATATTTCTTCACCAAACTTGGCACATACATTGATCTGGTGGTGTACTGGTGCCTTTTGGTAGTTTTGGAATTCTGATTAAAATATTTTGGGCATTTCCATGGCAACAAGTTTGACTTAGACTGAAATTGGTGGTTGTGTTCTTTTTTGGTAGTTTTGGAATTCCGGAGCAGAACTCTAAAACCGTTCACTATTTCTTCACCAAACTTGGCACATAGATTGGTCTGGTGGTGTACTGGTGCCTTTTGGTAGTTTTCGAATTCTCAATAAAATATTTTTGGCGTTTCTATGGCAACAAGTTTGACTGAGACTGAAATTGGTGATAGTGCTCCTTTCAATACTCTCCTTCCACTTTTCTATATACACACCTAAATATTTGACATAATCATAACTCGTAGACATAATCATGAAGAGTATTTTGCCATTGCGGGGGATATTGATGACTTTGTCTTCTTGTTGAGAATTGGAAAGTCACAAAAATATTGTGACGCAAAAACATCTGTTGGTCTCCAGTCGCAAAAATATTGTGTCAACATTTTTTCTTGATTTACAGTACTCTCCAAAAACAATTGCAGTAGCTCCCTTGATAGCTTTCTTGAGACACTGGAGGCTGAATAACTGAGAGACAGTTTTTCTGACTGACTACGGTGGTCAGTTTACAATGTCCGTTTCCTGGTCAGTGATGTACACAGGTGCTGGACGCAAACAATCTTAGCCCAGTCAGTCAAGCAAAAACTTGTTTATCAGTTGCCATGACAAATGTATTCATCGGATGGAATCGCCCTCCAAGCTGGCAGTGATCTGCTTAATTAGTAGACTAATCACAAAGAAGTAACCGGACCACATGCAGCGAGTGTTCGATGTGGTCTTGTGTTGCTACTTCCTCCAGGATGGGGATTTGTATGGTGCAGCAGCTTACTGAAAATTGTTTTCTTGTATCTAAAGATGGAGAAATATCCTCTTCCTGTTTTGGGTCTGGTGACTAATATCAAATAATCTATAATAAACCATCTGAATATGAACACCAGAAGTTGCAGATATTGACAGGCTCGTATAAAGACATCCTAATGGCTGCTGATATCCAGGGTTTGGACTTATCTTTTAATTATTGTATGAAGTGTAGTCTGTCTCATCATCCCAGAACTGCAGTATTTTCCCTTCTGCCCAACCAGTTCTACAATGCTAAAGCCTCAATGTAGGAAGTCTAGATTTCCTCAGGTTACTGGGGATCCTTTACAATTTAAAAGGACTTATGTGTTTCAGTCAAAATTATATATATTCAGAGACCAAGCATCAGTATATGTGAAGTGCTTCAGTATGGTGAATTAGTAGACATTGTCACCTTGGTAACAGGGTTAGCCATGACAAATTACAGATGTGTTCATTTGAAGTCAACATATCTAAAGTAAATATAAACAGATTTGTTTATTGACTCCCACAGAAGGTAGACAAGACTGAAGATGTCAGAATTGTCACCAGTTACTATGTGTCTGTTAGCAGAGACCATATAATATAATCTATTATATGGTCTCTGCTGTTGGTAACAGGTAACAATGTGTTGGCTAGTGACTATGGAATGCTTGTTACAGGTAACATTGATGTGTTTGTTGCCTGTAAAACTGATGTGTTGTCTCTTTTGGGTGATGTAATGTGATGTAATTTGGTAACAGGTAACAATGTGTTGGTTAGTTACAGGTAACAATGTGTAAATTACAGGTTACAATGTGTTTGTTCCAGGTAACAATGTGTAAATTACAGGTTACAATGTGTTTGTTCCAGGTAACAATGTGTAAATTACAGGTAATATTGTGTTTGTTCCAGGTAACAATGTGTAAATTACAGGTTACAATGTGTTTGTTCCAGGTAACAATATATAAATTACAGGTAGTATTGTGTTTGTTCCAGGTAACAATGTGTAAATTACAGGTAATATTGTGTTTGTTCCAGGTAACAATGTGTAAATTACAGGTAGCAATGTGTTTGTTCCAGGTAACAACGACGTGTTTGTCACCATCCAGCTGGGGAAGGAGAAGTATCAGACATCCACCATCAAGAATGCTCACAACCCGGAGTGGTTTGAAGAATGTGACCTGTAAGTCAGACTGCAACACTATATTCTTCACATATGAACATGAGTAGGTAGTTTAAACAAGCGATCACAACCTATGCGTTTACTGAAACTTTTAATTGGAACAGATGTTTAACGAGAGACAGATATGTCTTTCTTATCTCTGTAATTGGTGCATAAGTGCAGACGGATCAGGATGCAGTGTTTGATTCATGTTATACTGTTAAAGTCACATTTAAAACCCTGACTTACCCATCATTGCATTTGTTTTTCTCTAATTTGGGGGCGGTGGGGTAGCCTAGTGGTTAAAGTGTTGGCCCATCATGCCGAAGACCCGGGTTCAATTCACCACATGGGTACAATGTGTGAAGCCCATTTCTGGTGTCCCCCACCGTGATAATTGCTGGAATATTGCTTAAAGTGGCATAAAACCATATTCACTCACACTCTGTATAATTTGATGATTTATTTAATCATAATATTTGAATCCATTTGAATCACTGGACATTTTCAAACTTGTTCCATTGTTAGTGATTTCCATCAATGTTTTCAAAGGTAATCGATGTGTACCTCCCTGCATCATCAGGCTATTTGTTAAAGAGTATCTGTACAGCATATCAAACTTGTAACTGACCAGATGATTTAGAATGCAGAAGGTGAGGTGATTATTTGATGGGAACATGTCTTTCTTCATTCCATAGCCCTATTCCTCACATGCACTCGGAGATTGAGGTGAACATCTACCACCGAGGTGTTCTGTCTGATGACTTCCTGGGGTACGCCTCCATCCCTATGTGGGACCACAAGGTCGGAGAGAGGCCGAAGAGTCAGTAAGTAGGGGCCACTATTGGGAGGGGTATATACCCTAGAGGGGTTCTGTCTAAGACTTCAGGGGTACAAGGTCGGAGAGATGCCTAATAGTCACTACTGAGGTGAATATAGAGTATTGAGTGGATGGATTGATCGATGTAGACCTGCTCAGAGACTAATAATCCCAAGGGTGCAGTAATTGTCAATAAATTGTTCCCAAATGGCCATTACAGGTTATTTTTTCATGCTTTGTTGTTTAACGCCAGCAAAATTTATGCTATATGGCGCCTGTCTGTAAATAGTTGAGTCTGGACCAAACAATCTGGTGATCAACATTGATCTTCATAATTGGTTACAATGTCATGTGTCAACCAAGTCAGTGAGTCTGATCACCCAATCCCGTTAGTGGCCTCTTAACACATGCAAGGGTTGCTGAAGACAAATTCTAAGCCGTATCTTCACGGGTATCTTTTTTCTTGTATAAACATAGCTTGTGTATTAGTTTGGTTGACATGACTTGTATTCCACTCGTAGTATGCCCAAAAAGGGTAAGATGTTTAATTTTACATTGGATGCAATGTTACAATGCCATGTTAAAATACCACTGAAAAAATTAGAAAGTAAGAACAAAAAACTCACGAATCTTAGTCCAGTTTTTTATTTCCTCCTTTTGCCTGCCCAGGGCATATAATTTGGAATCCTAAATCCCTGGAATTAAGGTAAAAAGGTCACATTTTTGTGTCAGCACTATCATTTTATTGATTCTCGGTACTGTTAGCTGTAGAGATATAACTGTCCATCTTCACAGCAACGTAGTCGCCAAGATGGCTTGTAAATGACCCCAGGAAGCTCAATTCATTACATCCATATCATCAGACTGGTTGTCATCCGGGGAAATTACATGTCCGAGATTAGACCTCTCATTTGTGTCATATTTGGCAGACATCGCTGAATAAACTAGGAGAGAATATTAGCCATAAAGGCACAGGTGAAACTGTTTTCAGTACTTAGGGGTCATGGGACATCATAACAATTATTTTTCCTTATCCTGACCTATGCTCTTTTGCTTGTCTTCTTCTTCTTGCGAACATAGTGGAACACTTGTATCTCCTTAATTGAAGCTCCCTTCAATGTAAAATCACTAATTGGTACTCACCAAGAGTTGCCTCCCTTGCCCTTTTTGGCGGGAACAGGTGTCGCCACCCTCTGGCCTCATGCTTCACTCTCTCCTTCTTCGCCCAGTGAGCAGGATGTGAGGCGCCTGTGTCTCCTTACACACTATATCCTTTGGTTTTTCTTAGTTTATTACCTCTTATAGGTTACTATAGAGGTATAGCTAGTATCCTTCATTAATTTGCATTGATAATTAATCGTATTTCTACTGTTTATTCACGTGAGTTCGTGATTGTTCAGCTAGTATTACGTTGATGAAAATCTGTACTATTTGCAATTTACGTTTTCGGTTGCTGACCCGCATGTATTATGCCCTAGTTGTGCTACGCCTTGTCGCGTTTGATACACGTTGCAGTTACTGCATTAATCTATCAATTCTGCTTTTCATAAATATCTTTGCGTCGTGAGACGTACCGCGAATAGAGTCGCATAAACAAAGGGTTAGACATGGCGATACATCGGATTCCCCTTCCAGTCAGCTGCTGTCGATAGACCCCTCCCGTCTGGTGTTCGCTAGAGACTCCGTCCGAAGATGGGCGTGGGATGCAGTCCGCCACCTCTAAGAAGCGTCCTGCCTCCCCAGGCGTCCGCCATCGCCAGCGCTAAAGTCCAAGAGGGCCACGACGTCTTCCCAACACAGACTTCGACCCCAGGGCAGCGTCGACATCCAAGGGGAAGTCTACGGTCGTCAAGAACTTTCTCAGCCGATCGTTCCAACACTTAACTGGGCCTCTCGATGATCAGCCGATCATCATCCCTGGCGTCGCCACAAGAAGCGACCGGTGACAGCTACAGTGACATCAGCAGAGATCGCCATGCAGCCTGATGCCTCTACACTGATGTCAGACGACTTCCCTGAGGGCTCAGCAGCTGTCATCGCAGAGAGGGCACCGACTACTTCGTCGCAGACCATCCCAGACGAGCTGTTGCGGCAGATCATGACCATGATGGAGGGCCACTACAGTCGAGAAAAGCAGCCAGCCCAGGGCCGAGCAACATCGAGATGACACCCCAGAGGCACCCCCAGTCAGCGTAGCAGCCACGTGAAGCAGCCTTCGAGAAGGAAGTCACAGACCACCTCGGCGAAGGGCGCAGATGTACAGTCTTCGCCGGGCCTTCGCGAAGACGGGAGGCGATCGTCACCGTCCTCGGCCTCATCCTCAGATGCAGACTCAGACCACCAGACGTCCGCGGAAACCGTCCGCGGAAGTCAAGCGCCGCTCCCCAGGTCGGGCGCAGAGGAAGCTGCACGAAGGCGTCACACAGATCGTCATCGTCCAGAAGGACGTCGAGGGGACTATTCAAGAGCTTCACGAACCCCTCAACATTCTCCTCGCAGATCTAGGTCTTCCCATAGACGCAGATCACCTAGACGATCTCCACGCCGTTCACCACGCCGATCTCCACGTACATCACCTCGCAGGTCACCACACAAGTCGGCACGCAGGTCTACAGTCAGGTCTCCCCGAGTGTCACCCGACATAGAGATAGCAGCCCACAGGTCACCATCAGAAGAGCATCAACCTCTCATCTCCGATGCTGGTACAGAAGATGATGGAGGCATCATCTTCTCAGACGCTGAGATAAGATATTGGTGCAAATGAAGATCTACAGGTCTTCATCAATGCACATCTCGACGACCTACAACCATTCAGTCTACCGAAATGTCTCAGACCTCATCTACTATGGTGGACCAGGAGGTCGAATGTCTGCGAAGGTATTTGTTTAGAAGAGCAGGAATTCCAAACCCATCTATATGTAGAAGAGCTCAAGGAATTCCAAACCCATCTATATGTCAGCAAGAAAGCAAGCTCCAAGGTTAGAGATGAGCTCAATCTAGTCGCCAACCGGACGGCATCAGGGTTATGGAATCAGCAAGAAAGCAAGCTCCATATAAACATGTTAGAGATGAAAGCTGTAATCAACGCCATATCATTGGAGCACCATTCTACAGAATCGCGCTTAATGATTCATACCGACAACTTCGACAGTGGGGTTCTATGTGAACAAACAAGGTTCAACGCGAAATCACTGAACCTATTGACTTTAAGCTTTCAACTGTTCGATCTTATCCACGATCTAAACCTACATGTCAGAGCATGTCACATTCCCGAGCCAAGAATGTACTAGCAGATGCACTCTCGGGCCACATCAACCGTCACCGACAGAATGGATGCTCAATACAGAAATATTTGCACAGATAATCAAGCAAATAGGAGCGCCGCTAGTAGATCTATTAAGCCACACGCTTCAACAATCAGCTACCGACATTCGTGTCACCAGTCCCAGACCCACAAGCATGAGCAGCGGACGCTCTAAGCATATCCTGGGAAGGCCTCAATGCGTCGCAGCGTTTCGCCGCCAGCAATAATACCTCAAGTGTTACAGAAAATCAGACAAACACAGAGCCTCCAACTCACTTTGGTCACGCCCTACTGGCCGGCCAGAGCGTGGTTTCCCATTCTAATTCAAGAAATCGGTCAACCAACACTAGAGCTACCCAGGCTCAAATCTATTAATACATCCACACACCAAACAGGTGCACGGAAGCCCAGAAGTATTCCAACTTCATTATGGACTGTATTAAAATGTGTTTAAACAAGAGAGGGTATTCTACCAGGGCGGCAAAGCGTCACGCTTGCCTTACGCAAATCTACCGCGTGGCTTGTGCGACGACAAGTGGCACAGTTTTGAGAATTACGCGGCAAATAAGGGATTTACAGCAAGAGATGCTACTCATCCACAAGTGGCAGATTATTTGTGTTACTTACGGTGAAACAAACATTTAAAAGGCTCGACATTGTCAACATATCTTGCGGCTTAGTTCTGTGATTACCATGAGAGCGGGTGTCAAATTGACTAAAACTCCAGAGTTACTGGCCTTACTACGTGCTTTCCGATTGGAGGACCAAAAGCGGAAGTTCCACGCCCCAGCTTGGGATCTGAATATAGTGTTACAACACCTCACAAGTGAGGCTTATGAACCGTTGGAATCGACAAACTTTGAATTTCTCTCACAGAAAACGCTTTTCCTGTTATCTCTAGCCACAGCAGCCAGGATGTCGGAAATTCACGCACTAGATTATGAGAGGATACAGTTTGATGACAATCAAAACACAGCACACCTGGGACTAAGATGGGATTTCATCGCCAAAAATCAACTACCAGGTCAACCAGACAGGTTATTTCATATCCCTGCATTATCCTCCATTCTCGGATCTCAAGATACACTGGACTTATCTCTATGCCCAGTCAGAGCTCTCAAAATCTATTTACGACGTTCCAAAACAAGGCGAAGATTTCTCAAACGATTATTCATCCCCTTGTCGGCAACAACTCAGACAGAAGTCTCTCGTACCACCATATCTATATGGATAAGAACTGTCATACTTCGCGCCTACAAGGCAGCAGGACTGGACCCTCCAACAGCATCAAATCCCCATGAGATCAGGGCTTTAGCTTCCACTCTCGCCCTACACGGTAACTGTTCATTGAATACAATTATGGAAGGATGCTTTTGGAAATCTAACATGGTGTTTGCTAATCACTACCTGAGAGATATCACCACCGAGGACGTCTCAGGCATTCACCATTTCGGTCCCTTGGTCCTCGCACAGCAGTTGACAGTCCCTCGTAAACGTTAACACGTAGTCTTACGAGATTAATATGCATAATTGTTACATGCATTATCTAGCTTATAACTCTACGGAGTTCTAGCAGTATGTATATATGTTCAGTGGTATAGCTTCTCTATCAGAGTCGCTTTGATATTGTTGTTTATAATATCTCAGTATATTATTAATGTAAATAACCCAGTATGGCATTATAACCTATGGTTTATAATAGAGGAATTATCCTAAGTCTATGCCTTTATGAAGTTCCCGTAGGGGTTATTACAGTTATATCTATATAAATCACTAATTTTATAAATCCAAAGTATTCTGTTTTGCCCACCTCCGTTTCCGTAGGATTCTACAAGCAAAAGAGCATGACTCAGGATAAGGAAAAATATGTAATTTTTTGAGTAAAATTGATATTTTATACTTATCATGACTCATGAGGTTAGCCCTCCCATCCTCCCCACATAACACTTTGGATTTCCCTGTAAATTCAAGTGTTGGGCTCGCAAAATCAGGAGAGAGTGAAGCATGAGGCCAGAGGGTGGCGACACCTGTTCCCGCCAAAAAGGGCAAGGGAGGCAACTCTTGGTGAGTACCAATTAGTGATTTTACATTGAAGGGAGCTTCAATTAAGGAGATACAAGTGTTCCACTATGTTCGCAAGAAGAAGAAGACAAGCAAAAGAGCATGAGTCAGGATAAGTATAAAATATCAATTTTACTCAAAAAATTACATATTTCATTGGTTTCAATGTTTCCAAAGAGGTCTAAATCGGTGTTATTCATGTGAGTGCATCGTTGAATATAATTGAAGATGACGCCATCCTTTGCTCACGATTTTTATGACAACCCTCCAGCGACTGATATCAGTGATTTATCCAGAACTTCTCAGAGGCCAGGTTTCAGGTCTGCAGTAGATGTCAGTAAAAGTTCTTGGAATTACACAGATTCTTGCTGTGTGGTTGTGACTGAGTAGAACTGACTTGTATTCTATTAACAAGACCAATAAGTGAGTGAGTGAGTTTAGTTTTACGCGCACGCATCAAATAATCAAGTCAGACAATCCAGTGATCAACAGCATGAGCATCGATCTACGCAATTGGGATACGATGACATGTCAACCAAGTCAGCGAGCCTGACCACCTGATCTTGTTATTCGCAGTGTGTGAAGCCCATTTCTGGTGTCTGCCATCAGTGATAGTGCTGGAATATTGCTAACAGTGGGGTAATACTAAACTCACTCACTCCTGGGAATGAATTCTAACCCGAATCCACTGGTGTCCCTTTCTGGTGTCCCCGCCGTGATATTGCTGGAATATTGCTAAAATCGGCATAAAACCATACTCACTCACTCTAACCCGAATCACCACATTGCTCAAGATACAAGGAAGATAGATCTGTTAATATGACCATCTTAGCTCCATGCAGGTGTGCTCTTAAAGTCTATAGAAGACGACGTATCTCCCCAGAGAGGCAGCACTAGTTGTTGAAATCATTAAGTATTAAGTACATGCAGCAATAGTCAAGCGATTATCTTAAGGTGTCATTATTGTAAAGTGTTAATGCAATCAATACTCTTTGTGTTCTAACGATTCTGTCTAAAAAATCTTTGATAAGATTCCCTATGAGAACGATGTGTAACAATTGGTCCCAAATGACCTATGCATGTTGTAAGACGTCTTAATGGATCTGTGCCCCATTTCACAAAGCTATTGTAGCACTAAGACTTGTAAGTCTATGTTACAGTATAGGAGGTACGACAGTCGTAGCGCTATGATAGCTTTGTGAAACGGCACCCTCAGGTTGTCAGATAATGTGTCACCATACCCTGAAGTCATGGCTCGCTGCGCGGTACATCAATCACTGGTTGGTCATCTATAAACAGTAATCATAAAACTGTCATATTTCTGAGGGTTTTACACAACAAACAAAGAAAACCTGCTTCGATAAAACATGTGCCAATCTTGTTTTAAAAAACAAGCGTATTCTTTCCAACTTATTATTAATTCATCAGCAGTGGAAAGACTTAATGGGAGGCAACAGGATGATTAATCTTCGTGATAACATTCTTAAAACAAGACTGGCATGACATGTATGAATTATTGATAAGAACTTTTTCTCTCATTTCAAGAAGTTGTTGGAATTCATTACCAGAATAGCCCAATTAGTGGTGTAATTGATAGTGCTGATGTGAAATGCTTGCCAACATTTTTCTTGTTAATTAAAAGGAAAAGCATGTTAGAACTAAACCTTGTGAACAAAGTGTTTCCTTGACATGAAGCTTGAATGAGATTTTGTGTCAAGGTCTCTGTTGGGGAGGTTTTTTAAAACATATATGAAAGTTTTAACACTCAAAATCAAACTTGTACTGAAAAATTGCCTCTGGGACTTATTTTGTAGGCTGACATGAAACTGAATGTTCTTGTGACTTCATTTTGTGGTTTATAGTCCTTGATAAGTCCATCTATTTGAGGCATGGATAGCCCTGTGGTCTGAGGATCCACAACTCTCTGTACAGAGTTGCGCCCCTTGGGCATACCAGAAGCTGATGATCATCATGATTGTGGGTTCTATTCCCATTTCACCTTAAATGTTTCTAGGTTTGTAACCCATGCTTGTCGTAAGAGGTGACTAACGTGATCGGGTGCTGTTGATCACTAGATTGTCTGGTCCAGACTCGATTATTTACAGACCTCCGCCTTATAGCTGGAATATTGCTGAGTGCGGCCTAAAACTAAACTCACTCACTCTTAAATGGAGTAAACATCTGTGACTTGCCTCTCTTCAGGCTGTCTGCTACAGCAGCCATGTTGAAAATGTCTGTGCTGCCCTTGACTCTGAGATTGTTGCATGTTTTTTATGAAATGTGATGTTCAGTTTGGAATGCAGAGAAACATATTGACCGGTTACCGTATTTTAACAAATAAGTTCGAATGATTTAGATGAGCTACAGAGCCTTGTGGTTGTTTTGTGCATATTATTTTTCTACTCACTGAAAATATTAAGATTTTGTGTCAGTTTTATTTCATCCCGTCTTCTTCGTTGTTGAACACTGATCGGGGAATCACTGACTTCCTTCAGATTATGCTTTGAGATTTTGTTTCCTGACAAGAACACGTGTAATCGTGGATGTATACTTTTCCATCACTCCAGGATACAATGTGCCGATGTGTTAGTGTATATGGAATGCACAGTCCCCTATTACTTACACACCTTACATGTGAACCACACACTCAAGTCACTTCATGAGTTTGGTTCTTATCTGCATCTTCCCCTCAAAGCCAACTATGTCCAGGTTTTATAGAAGTATTCTATATCTTTCCTTGACAACAAAACTAGTACGTTTGCATAGTCTTTAGTTATATCATATGTTGTGTGTTTGGATAAATACTAAACACACTAGACAACACTGTGAATGTTTATTGTGTGTACTTGTAGATGGGTGACACTGAAGAACAAACCGTCCAAGGGGCAGGACAACAAGCTGCGAGGGGAACTAGAGGTCAAACTGACCTTCCACGTGGAGAGTCGGACAAATATTGGACCAGGACTCAAGAAACGGTCCTCTTCTATACGAAACCTGGCCAATGCTGTTGGTGAGACACTTTGATGATGTGTTTTGTCAGGAGCTGTGGACAGTCAATATTTTGAGTAGGATGCAATATTAGCCTCTCAGTTTTAAGCTACTCTTTAGTGAACGCATTCTCAGATGCCTAGATACATCTGACCACAGACAAAGTAACTGAAGTGACTGTAACCCTCATTTATTCATAGTCTATAATCAGCTGTTCTCGCTCTGTCCCTCTGTCAAGAGGCACAGAAAAGTCCACTTGACTACAAATTATCATGTATTTTAAAACATAAGTATCAATGTCTTTATTAATGATGTACTGAAAGGAAGCATTCATTATTTCATTGAAAGTGAACTTTAAAATAAACTTTGGTACTTTTGTATCAATACTAATGACTGGTACAACCAAGATGGTGGCCTCTGTGAAATGCTGCTGCTGCTGCTGCTGCTGCTGCTGCTGATGATGATGATGATGCTGATGATGATGACGACATTTGATTTCAGGGGACAAACTGGGTCTGTCAAGAAGCAAATCTTTTCGAGAAAATAGAAAAGACCCTGAAGGAAGCAAATCTGATCGTCGCCAATGGCGACCAGGAACAGATCCTGTTTTTGAGGAAAATAAGGAGGTGAAAGGTCTTTCTTGGCAGTTGTCACGTCACACCAACTTAATCAATTGACAGTTGATTTAGATAGTACCAGTTGATTGACAGTTGACTAAAATGATAACAATTGATTGCATGCAACAGTTTTGACACTTATTCCACAGTAATTCTACAGGAAATGTTGCATTTGTGTTGGAATTGACAAATTTATTTCCTTGATGCATTGTATGTGTATGAACAGGTATTTTCTAAGTATGCACAGAAATACTAGAAATATTGCTGTATACACCTCTGAATCAAGAATTGGAATATTTCTTGCATAGCAGGGAAAGCAGATGTCAGGAACATCGTGTATGTTTTGCAGTTGAAATAATACCCAGAGCTGTATCCTGCAGGTTGCTGTATTTATCAAAGGAATTTAACTTGTAGTGACGAAATACTTTACTTCATAACTGGCTCTGAGCAGCGTGAGATCATGAAAGAAAAACATTTAACTTTGGAAACATGAAAATGTTACCAAAAATACATGCAGCAATGTCTGAACTTGATGTACAGTTGTTTCTGTGCATACTCTGGATCACAAGTATTCTAAACACTTGGTGATTGTCTACTGTACCTGTCTATCTGTTATATGTACTCTTGATCTATATCTACTCTCATCATACTTTCCTAACTACTTTCATAAATGTATGTCATAATATATATACTCTATATGAAGTAAATCAAGTAAATGATAATGTAATTATCATCTTTATGAATAATTTTAACTACTCTTGATTTCATTTATATGTAATTACATTGACAACAAATGTGTGCATTATTGATTATCTATTATGATTATCATGATGGCACGTCATATGTAGTTGTATGCCAAATATTATCAACTAGTCTTGAAAGCCCACAGTTGTGTGTGTTTTGTGATGCTTAACAAAAACTTGTACCAAAGTAAATAAGTAATTCATGATTATCATGATAATCTTGTTAACATTCTTTTAAAATGTGATTTCCAAACATATCTGGATAGAAATGGTATGGAATACATTATGGAATGTATAAGCCATTCAGCTAAAGCCATATATTTTTAACCTATTGGGTATCCAAGTTATGCTTGTTGTAAGAGACCACATAATGGATCATGTATGGATAGCCGCGTTACTTATGTTATACTGAAAACACATTAGCTATGGGTTTTCATGGCCAGTTGGCAGTGTGGCATATAATGTAGTAATTATGTATTCACTACAATATATATCATCTGTTAAGATGTACTAATATGTTCATAGTCTCACTTTTGCAAGGCCATACATTACCCACATGGTTCCAGTTCAGTTTAAACTACGATTCTGTTCTTGTGTGGTAACTGACAGTTACTGCAAAAGCAATGGGGTTGTTGATACCTTAGAGACAAAGGGCTATTCATAATTATCTCCACTACATAATAGATCTGAGAAGGCATTAACAGTGTGGCAATGTAAATGTGAGACATGGTCCAGAAAATAACATTATCATCTGAAAAACATTAAACAGGTTACTATAAAGTAAAATGTGTGATAAGCCTACCAGTATGTGAACAGATTAATTGATCAATGAATGATTGCCGGCAATGTACCCATTTACCATATTAGTATTTGACCATTTCAATAGTACTACCTTGTTTTTGTTGATGTTTATGATTAGTGTTTTATTATTACAAACTTCTCATAGTTTAAAAGTGGTCAACAAACAAAAATGGATACTAATTATGATAATTATCATGTGAGAACAAAATACATAAAGTTTAGTTTTTACCAAAAATGTCAAGCACTTGTAAGTAAACAAGGATTCTGTTGTTTTCTGGACCTGTGTATGTAACCATGGTAACCACTACATGCTGTAGATATCCCTCACTCACTCTATATATGTGACCACTGTCCAGGCCAACTCTGCGTACCTGCGTCGGACGTCTAGCTCGCACCCTAACCTTCGCCATGTCGGACAATCACCCAGCAATAATTTCCCAGCGCTCGATGTCGAGCGATCTAGCTGGACACCTAACGATCAGTCTGGGGTTGGTATATGTATGATTAACATTCTTGGATGCTGAGTCAGCAGTAATTGGTTTAATGTGGTGATGGTAGCATGTTTTCAGGGATTTCTGTTTTTTAATGCCAGTATCAGTGTTGTGCTAGTATCTATGGGTGAGGTGGGCTTCACACTGCAGTTAACAGTATTCTAATTATATCATGGTTCGTTAGATTGATGTGGGGGGAAAAGCATGAAGTGACACAGGTCTTAGACATTTACAAAAAAAAACACAAGCATGGGGGGAGAGGGGGAAGTCTAGCGGTTAAAGCGTTCGCTCGTCATGCTGAAGACCCAGGTTCGATTCCCATGTGAAGACCATTTCTGGTGTCTCCCGCCGTGATATTGCTGGAATATTGCGAAAAGCGGCGTAAGGTTAAACTCACTCACTCAATCAATCAATCAATCAATCACAAGCATGGGCATGGTGCAGACACACCAGTTTCCTAACCCACAATCACAGGTTTCTGGCATCCCCAAGGGTCCAGATCCACACAGTGTATTGCCGGACCCTACATACCTGGTCCACCCTTGCTCTACTTCTATAAGTGAATGGATAAATGAAACAATATGATGATATGTTAAAGGTGATTTTCATGTTGGGTTTTTATTATTTCCTATTTTCCATTTAGCTTTGAAAAGTTTGAAATTGAATTAGGCAAATTCTTTTGTTAAAACAAAAGTTTTGAATAATTACTGAAGTAATTCAGTTTACTCTGGATGTTGGAAAACTTGAGAGAATTTATAGTGTTCTGCGCACAGTAATTGGGGATCTGTCTGTGAGTGAGTGTGTGTATGATTTTACACCGCTTTTAGCAATATTCCAGCAATATCAGTGAGGGACACCAGAAATGGGCTTCTCACATTGTACCCATGTGGGAATCAAAGCCAACGCTTTACCCACTAGGCTACCCCGCGGCCCCCGTCTGCCTGTGGAGCCAAGCAGCAAGTTGAGTAGTTTACAGCATGGGGCCAGGCAGATTGTGTGTCATGGTAGCCCGTCACTGAATACATGCTCATGCTGTCCACCACTGGTTTGTCAGGGACTCAAGTATTTTCTGGCTTTATGATATAGATTTAGTGTTGTTGACTGCAAAGTAAATCAACATACGCTCACTTAATTCATAAAACTAATAGACTAGTCTGTCATATAGACCCTGAAACAAATATATCCAAGAAAGCCCATGCAAGTCTAGATTACCACAGTTTCTGAAAATGAAGAAAGTTTCTGGGCTCCTTTTCATTATATTTTATGATTATAATTTAGGAACTGTTTTTTCTGTAAAATACATTCATTTCAGAGACTAGATGTTAGTCTACTAAGGGACCGTTCATAATTTATGGCCAGGGGGTGATGATGATTTTTATGGAGAGCATGTACAATGTGAATTTAACACCCCTCCCCAGAACAAGATGGGTGACCCCCTAAAATGCCCACAACAACACAACAACAACAACAACAACTCCTCTCCAACAACAATTTTTAAGCATAATTTTTACCACCACCAACTGATGTACCAATTTGTGTACAAAATTGACACACACACACACACACACACACACACACACACACACACACACACACACACACACACACACACACACATAAATTTTGAACGGTCCCTAATAGACAAGTTGCCAGATATTCAGTACAGTTACATTTGGAATGTTGTCCAGTAATTCTCCCACTTCAGCATTGTGTGTCTGATTGCATGCAGAACTAATCACCCTTCTCTTTGCATGAGCAATATGCATGTGTGTATCTACCTGTTAACTTTGTGTTTGCATGTGAAGTTTTGTCCAACCCTAGCTAGAGTTGATGAGCTCACTAACAGCATGAAATGGAAGTTTCTTTATAGGAGTATTTATAGGTGATGGGTAATAACTTTTTTCATTATTTCTTTTACAGTTTATGTGGATTGTTTTAGAATGATTTCAGGGTGTGATCCTCTACGGACAACCTTCGTGTGTTGATGTTGGTGTAGAGATATTTTATGTATGCTTCACTCTCTTTCTACATGGCCATTTGTGCATGTGTTCATCAGTGGTTGTTGTCAGGATATTGTTTGGTGTCTGTAATACTTGACGTGGTCAGTGGGTCACCTGGTCACCGTGTGTTGAGGATGACTGACCCCACTGGGAGACCCTGTTGAGCAGGGCCCCAGAAACCTAGCTGGTTCAAGAGGAGACTTTATGATTGGGTGGTCACAGAGCCAGTGATGACAGTCCCGGTGACTTGGTGGATAGTGTGTCCTGATGGTGTAGATCATTGCTCACAATGTCCATCTCTGGATTGTCCTGTCTTCAGTTTACAGGCAACCATCATGTAAATTTTTAATCCATAAAAATATCTTGGACATCAATGTACAACTTCTAAATGCCACTGAAAGAAACCATCATGTAGCTGGAATAATGCTGAGTGTAGCATTTAACCAAAACTGTACTAACCAACCCAGCTGACTGTGTGTCATCATTTTCATTGTGTCCGTTCCTGCTTGTTCCTGGATTGATAACAGATAATTCACTGGATGAAACAACATTCACAGAAAATACCTCACACATTATCTAATTATTTATATAACCTTCAAATTATTTGCTGCAATATATGTGCACATTGATCTTGATGATGATGATGATGATGATGATGGTGGTGATGGTGGTGTACAGGAGGCGCTTTCTCGGAGCTACAGCATGTCAGCAGCCTACATCAAATCCATGTCCCTGGACCGCGGAAGCCGCAACATCAACAACAACCACACCCATTCCCAGGAGTTAGTACAGGGTGAGGCAGTTATCATGTCATGTGTTATTCATTTATATACTGTACATATATCTGACATAATGCCTTGCTTGTTTTAAACTGAATCTCTATTGTATGTACAACGCATATATCCTTCTTCATGCATGACATTATATCATACAGATGAAATAAAATGTATCATTGGATTATATGATTGCAGACACCCTGCATTTTCAGAGAGCAGTCTTTATTCATGCTCTAACAAGATGTGTAACTTCACATTGTCAATACATGTATGGTGGCTTGATTTTTGGATGAAGTTGTTTTTTCATAATTTAATGAACCATCAATACTGAATGTTTCTTAAGTGTCAAAAAAAAACATAACAGGAGGATATATTGTATGTTTTGTAAAAATCCATACATTCACTCACTCACTCACTCGCAACCTCACAACCTCTCAACCTCATGTTTCATGATGCTCTGTTGCATCCACAGACACACCTCCGGCAGCTCTGTACATTCCTGGAAACAGAAGAAGCTGTGTGGAGTTCTCCAACTACACTCTGCCTCCCCCTCCATACAACCCACAACAAGTATCCCAGGACGATACAGCCATAATAATGCATGGACCCATGCGGTCCCTCGCTCCTCGAACACAGCTGTCGTCTACCTCCTCGTACATGGAAGCCATCAAGAAACGTGAACGAGCGATGTACGAGAGTATTAAGGAACGAACTGAGCCCGAAGAGTCATCCTCGTCAGACGAGGTTGACGCTGGTTTGGCCCGTGCTAGACCACGGCGTCTTTTTCTTAAGGATCTGAATCGTGAAAATGATGCCGATGTTGAGAGTATGAGTGAAGTGACAGTTAAGCAGGGTGTGATGCTGAACGGGACTCTGGAATCCGGGGAAACCACTTCAGGCCCAAGTGTAGGAAATACTGGAGATTTTACTCCTGAAAATGGTCACAAAGACTCTCGGCAGGATGTGATGCCAAATGGGCATGCCCGGAGGGAACAAGATCATCATCATCCCCCAAATAGCAGGAAGGTTGTGTCGGTCAGGGATGACCTTTCCAATACCATGCAGTCTCTACGGAGGGAGAATGGACAGGGCGAGGTTGCTCTTAGAAAGAAGTCCAAGAGAGACAGGATCAGGAAACTCAATAAACAAGGTGAGGAAACAGTACTGACAGAAGTCAAGGGCCAGTGCCTCAGTCATATAACAGCATCCTTTATTCTAGCTTGTATCCTATGATCCTGGATCTGCCCTGAGTATGTTCCTGTTTGTCAGCACCATACATATATGTACATATATATATATTCAGAGACAAAGCGTTAGTTTACAAGGTCCTCTGTGGTCATCTGCCCAGAAAACAAAGAGTATGGCCCCCAACTATGCCATAACAAAAGACTTTGATTGTACTAGTCGTTACCTTCCTGGCTCTTGACATGGAGATGATAGGACAAGTTACATTTCCTCAAACAGGACTGGACTCATAGCTAAATAACATCAATAATGTGCAACCAATCACAGGTGTTCTTGTATTGCCACACCCTAAGTACTTTTCAGGATCAGACTGACTCATGCTTTCATAAGGGTTAATTAGTACTGCTTACAAGATCTGAACTGTGAAAATTGGTCTTCAGTAACCCATTGCTTGTGGTAAAGAGGCAATGAATGGAATTGTGAATTGTTGACTTGACTAATGTAAGAAAACTGGGTAGATCATTGGAGAGTCTTCTCCAGACTCATTTACAGATGGACTTCATATAGGCCTGTAAGTCTCGCAAGTCTGCGAGACAGAGCCCAACTTATTTCAGGTACCAGATTTCTGGTGACAAGTGTACGTTCAAGAACTATTTCTGGTTCCAAATTGCTGACTCCAAATAAGACTTTACTAGACCTGACCAAGTGTACAACCATGCTTGGCTGTCAAAGCTGTTTACAGTCGTAATAGTTGGCTAATTTGGGAGTGGTTGGATCGGAAATTTAATATTCCTGCAAGGATTATCGGTTCCTTACTGTCAACTGACAACCATGAAACCATTCGAAAAGGTATGAAACGTATTTATCGGAAGTACTAAGGTCTCGTGAAGTGACCTGCTTAGGTAGGGCCCTACAGCTGGAACATTGCTGAGTGTAGTGTTAAACAGCAGACCAACAACAGCTTCTTGCGTACAAGTAACCCACATGCCTAATGAAACTTATAAAGTTTGTTGTTGTTACTGTAATATCACGTAGCGAAGGAGTCATGTGAAGTTGGTGTGTCTGTCCTGCAGGCCGCCGGTACACAGTGCAAGGTCTGGACTTCCGTCCCCCTGGGCTGTATGATGACAGCTTCTCCGACATGAGTGACTCCACAAAACCCAGCAACTCCAACATCGCCCACGAGGACCTGATGGCCATGTACAGAAACCTAACCAAAGATGTAAGACTAGATGCTGGCCATCCTTTTACATGTTCTCATGAAGGACAAGATGATAGATGCTGTAGTGACTGCAAAATTATAACCTTTTAATTATAATCTCATATTGCTTCTCTGGAAACTCTAAATTCATATTCTGTTGTTAAGTCACAGCATTTACTGATCAGGCAAGGTTACTACTATGCTTGGCCTGTTTACCCTACAGTGTGGATGGTTGCTCATGATATCGATCACTGGATTCTCTAGTCCAGACTCAATTATTTACCTGACCCCAACTTAAAGCTTTTTTATTGCTGAGTGTGATGTTAAACATTAAGAACAAAGCACGTAGAAATTGTCGCAGATGTTGGTCCACTAAAGACCAAATGAGTGGTGGGATAGCCTTGTGGTTAAAGTGTTTGCTTGTCACGCCGAAGACCTGGGTTAAATTCCCCACAAAGGTACAATGCATGAAGCACATTTCTGGTGTCCCCCACCATGATATTGCTGGAATATTGCTAAAAGCTGCATAAAGCCATACTCACTTGCTAAAGACCCAACTGATTATGTTCAAGCAAACTGACTTACCTCCCTTGTGCATTGTCTCCCTTGTTTCAGGAACTTGTCCATATAGTCATCCAGAACAAGGCACAGATGATTCGTAAAGATCGCTATATCGGTGACCTTGAGAGCTACATCGACGACCTCCTTGTCCGTGTGATGGAGACCCAGCCACGACTGCTACACCGGGCACGCCCACCTCGCCACTAACAACACCACCAACTGGCATATCAACCTCACACTATGTTACCATACTATATCATTTGTACATTGGTTATACAGGAATATGAATATCTGTGTTTTGACAAACAGAGTTCGCTGAAAAAGTGATACTTAGACAGCAATACATTTATGTGATTTTATGAAAAATGTTTTTAATATTTTAAAAGGATTGATAAATGATTGATGAGTTTTGGTATTATGTGAGATAAACCAATTAAGCAATGAACCGGTGCTCTGAAATATTAATCTCAACAATATAATACACCATTTACTTTATTCTGTATTGGTGTGAATCAGCTGATCAATGGTTCCAGTTACCTATATATCAGATAATGGATGTAGATCCACATATTTTCAGAATTACATGAAGTCTATTACGTTTGGTCATAAATTTGTGTCGTCTTGAAATAAGAATTGACTTAACTATAATTTAATTTGGAAATTTATCAGGTTTTCCTGTATTCCATTACACCAAAAAAACTATTGCCATGGATACTCCTAAAAGCATTATTATACATATTGTGTCATGAAAACCTATTATTATTAATAACCCTGGGCGACGTTTTGATGTAGATTCTTACACCATTATCAAGCTGAAACGTTTTAGTTTGATAATTGTGAAAGAATCTACATCAAAACATTTCTCTATGCAATAAACAGGAAGTTGTTATCCATGAAGTTGTATGCTTCATTTCTGACTCTCCAACTTCTAGAATGCCGATCAAACAATTATTGATAACCCTGTGGGACGTCAGTGTATAGTTTCAGTTGTGTATTCTCATGATATTGACCTTTCTGAACATTTAGGGGGGCGGTGGGGTAGCCTAGGGGTTAAAGCATTCACTTTAAACTCACTCACCTTACTCTAAAAATATATATGGAGAGTGAGTGAGTGAGTATGGCTTTACGCAGCTTTTAGCAATATTTTATAATATCACAGCGAGGACACTAGAAATGGGCTTCACACATGGTACCCATGTGGGGATTTGAACCCAGGTCTTCAGCGTGACGAGCGGATGCTTTAACCACTAGGCTACCCCACCGCCCCATATATGCAGAGGACATGCTTAACCTCTAATAGTACAGGACACTTTTGGTTATTCTCATCAGTCATTCTGCTGCAACGAAAAATTTCACATCATATGAAAAATGAATCTTTATGTCATAAACACAAAACAGTGCCCCATTAGAATTATTGTCAGATTCACAAAGGAATGTCAATGTCAGAAAACTAGTGTGTCATAGGATACGGTGGGATATGTCATGAGACTATTAACCTTCTAGCACCTCACAGGCAGCTTGGGCTATCTGGGGTATTAATTATCAGATTGTGTATTAGTGCTTTGAGCATGTGCCTTGTACATGGAAAAGACGCATTATAAATTCACAATTATTATTATTATTATTATTATTTTACCCAAGGAACCCCATGTTTTGACATTTAATATTAGATTGATAAGTATCCTATAATTTCAAACACAGTGTAGGATAGGCTTAATTTGTTTGAGCAGCAACCAAGAGTATATGCTGCACCTATACCCAAGCGAGGCACTCAGCTGGACCAAGTCAGACACTCTGCTAGAAGAGCATTCATTCTAAGGAATTCAAATTCTTGTTGAAATGTCTGTTCTCAGATTCACCAGGGATGTAATGTTCTGCCTGTCGGCACTAGCAGCCCCTGACAATTTTTGCTGGTCATAACCTTCTTGGTTGTCTGTCATCTTAGTCTGACAATGTAGATCATTGTGCATAATATCAATCATTAGTTTGACTACTCCAGATATGCAGTTTGAAAATCACTGAGTTAAGTTGCTGAAAGCCAAATATGAATATTTATTACCAAATAAATAAGAAAAGTAACTTTTGCAATGCCTATGTTGACTAGCCCATCTGGTAAACGATTTAGGATATTAGCTGGCCCTCGGCCATTTCTGCTAGCCACGAACCAAAGGGCAAGGGGATTAGCTGGTCTTGATCTCGTAATACAGGCAAAATCCTGAAAGCTGCTGAAAGCCAATACTGAACAAGTGAGCTGAATCTCGTGATTTACTTTCATAAACATTCCAACAAGTTAAACATTGTCATTTTTAATTGTATATGTTGTTTTCTGTCAACGATCACAGTCCGGTCAGGAAGGAAGTCCTTTGCTCATTTTAAGCCAGACAAGTCATATAGCATGCATGATGCATATTTTTGTATATTTTTACGGCGTCCAGTGTTTTCTACAAAACCAAGGTCATCGTGACCTCTACAACCATGAATGTCATGTGCTGGTCAGTGCCTACAGTTGCTGGTTCACCTACATCTTCATCTCAACTCATGATTGATCATATCATTGATCATTGGTAATCAGAATTATATACTTCATCAGGCACTTTTCGTTAATTGCTTTTTCAGATTAGTTTCGTTTGAATGAAGTTAGAATATAGTCTTAGGGTACCTTTTTTCATTCACCAAAAGCGCCATGTAATGTGATTATATTTTATTATTTATATATTTGTGTGTGATCGTGTGTTGAACTATAGGTGAGGACATCTTAGAAGCTTATTTCTTTTAATGTTGGATGGCACATTTGAGTTGCATGTTGAAACAATACCAGTCCTGTTGTATCCAATGATGTGTTGGGATGATCTTTTAGAATATATTAGAAAAAGCTCAGTCTAAATCAGTAAGGATCCAGACTTTGTGCATAGGTTCGTGTTTTTCATAATTAAACTCTATTCTTAGCAACCATCAAAATGGTTTTGAAACAGCAAACCTGAATAGAAGGTCATTTGAGAAGAAAGCTCAGTGGAATACACTTTTATATTATTCTCAGTAAAGAATATTTCACACACCATGTGAAATGGTGAAAAAATCAAGCAAGTTTGTCTCATGTGGAGTAATGACACTGAGATGATGCTTGGTGAAATGTCGAGGTGTATTGTTGTTACAGACCTCGGCCCTTATTCTCAAACGTTCGTAGCACTAAGAATTCATAATTTTGATCGTAGCCAATGTGTTAAGAATGGGCTTAAGAAGTTCGTAGGGCTTCGAACGTTTCGAGAATAGCTAGCCTAGTGTTTACCAGTGCCTGTCAACACACCAGGGACATACATACCAAATACACACCTGGGGGTGTACGATGTCAGTATTGGAAACCTAGCATCAAAGGCTATTGAATTAAGGAGTTGTCAGTTTCAGGCTAACTTACAATCTTACAGCTAGTTTGAATCAAGATTTTTTAACTTGCTACCTCTACATTTATGAAGTAACTCAATCTAGCAGTTGATGACAAACTCAAATTCACACCTGGTTTCCGTCAGTATGAATTGACAGCTTTCATTGGCAGAAAGGGAAAGGGGAGGCATATCTGCGTAAAAGACCATTTATTTCCCAGGCCAAGACAAAGACATATTGTCATATCAAGTATATTCCCAATTTAGACCAGGGGAACAAGGAATATTTAGCATACTGAATTAAGCTGAGTTAAAACATTTATTGGCTATATGGAAGTTTTAATTAAATCATATTTGTTTTACCAGAATGTATTATTTTGGGAGATGAACATTCCCCCTGCTTGATTCATAATTGGTTATTGTGTCCATTTTGTAATTGGGGGTGTGAATGGGTACCTTGTAAGGATGGGAAAGCCGCAATAAGACTGGTATGATCCCCAGGGAGCTGAGATTGATAATACAATGTGCTGTTGAGATTGACATCCAATTATCAAAATGAAAAATACCAGCGCCTTGAGCATGTACTAGTTACGTGGATATGTGTGCTATATAAAATATTGATATACTAGCCTATTGTGTCCATGGAGATGTAACACAGATGGCACAGTTGTGTTAAGGCCTACAGTTTACTGTGCAGAGTTCTGTCCCTTTGGTGTACAAGAATCCTATGATCATGGGTTAATGAACAGCTCACTGAATGTGTTTCATGAATATGTTGAAGTACCTTAAATGTGCCTTCCTAGCAAAAGATGTTTTATCAGGATAAACAATCACTACGCATAATCAAGACTTTGACATTCCAGAGCTAATCGTGCCTTCTGTGAACATTTATTTCTTCAGATCATTATTTTGCAAATTGTTATTTTATGTGCTGGATTTATGTCAAAACGATATTTCTATTTTACATGTTGTGGTCATTAGGCAAGAGCCAGTAGCATCATACAAACTAATGTCCGATACTCTGAGATGTTTTAATGTCTGTGTATTGTGTTGCTGTGATGGTCAAGGTCAAGGTCATGAACTATTGACCCATATCGACAGAAAATACTCAAGACTACTTATTCATTTACTGGTTGTAAATATTTGTAAGTTTCAGATCACCTCATGTGACGACAATGTCATTTTATTTCATTCACAATGTTTGATGTGAACTGATTTATTTTAGTGAAACTGTCATTTCCTGTGAGGTCTACACAGCAACTGATGTCAGTGTTTTAGTCTTGCCAAGTTTAGAAGTTTAATCGGAGAACATATAATGTTATATGGTCTCTGGTTTGATAGACAAGAATATTGATCTCACATCATCATAATGAGTGCCATATAGATGTTTAGATAGAACAGGGTTTGATAATTTGTACCTTATTTCAATGTCCATACTGTCATCAAGTTTAAAGGAATAGTTGGTTCTTATGTACTGGTGTTTGGAAACTCCTGTTCTAGTGTATGAGAGGCACCATTGCATAATATGAAGATAATTGCAGGAGAAAATCCTTCTTCCCCTTTCAGTTTGGCTATATGTCAAATATACCTTTCTACAGTAAGTAATGTACATAGGACAAGCAAGATATGTTATGTAAGCATTTGAGATTTTTAATGATCTGATTTTTTAATGTGTTTATTTTGAGTTGTTTCGCTTTTCCTTATTTATTTGTGCTCTGTGCAATCTATCACCCGTTTACAACACTCTTCACTGTATTGTGATAGTTCATTTCTACACAAGTTACACACAACATTCGTCACTGTATGTGTGATATATTAGTGCAGTTCGACACAAGTACGACACAACACTGCTGTATGTGTGATATATTAGCAGTTTGACACAAGTGCTTCATATATTAACTGGCCATTAGGATTGTGTTGTGATTAATCCAGGTGAAAGGTTTCATCCAGGTAAAAAGAAATTTAACTCACTAAGCAGTCCAGGGAGACAAACACATGTTGATAAACGTAAGAGACGATATCAAGTTACTTGTTTTCCCATCATGCAGTGTTCAACACGATACAGTCATCCCTCACAATAACGCCCTTCGCGATGCTACGTTCTCGGCTAAGCTGTGGGGTAACTGTGAATTATGTGCATTGATGACCCAAAAATATTTTAGGTTAGGCTAGACCAATTTTATTTCTTGTTTTACGGATCCACTTGCCGTATTTTTTCAAGAATAAGAAAAGAAAGAAAAAAAAATTTCGCCACTCAAAAAAAATTCCTTTTATTGCCCAAAAATGTAAACTTACAAAAAATATATTTTTGATTGTTTTTTGCCCCATATGAACTTAATCAATTGCCAAAAATATAATACTTTTAGTATTTAAAAGGAATATTACTTTGACTGGTGATTTTTATTTTTTTATTTTTTCCCTTCTGCCTTTAGGTTTTCTGAGGACAAAAAACGTAAGAAATAAAATTGGTCTGGCCTTATCTTATATATTTCCTGTTCCTTCTGTTATCAGAAGCCTAGAGTAAAGGTTGACATGAGGAGATATTATAAAAACAGGGTATTACTTCTTAATTTTTTCTGGTGGTGAACTGTTTTGGTGATACCCAAAAAACAGATTTTTCAGATTTCTTCGTTTTCCCGGTTAACAAATCATGGCTATTAAGAAATGCAATTTGATGTAATGTATATGTGTATAATAATCGTAGAGAAGACAAGATTCCATTA